GGGGGGGGCGGGTACGACCCCCCCCCCCCCTCGCCGTTTCGCCCCTGGTGGAGCTAGCGCGTCGCGGAAAAAAACGAGCGTGTGCGCCGTTACGAGACGCAGAGATTGGTACCCGATTTTAAGGTCCTAGGTCAACCGGTGACCTCTGAGGTCAGGTCAAGCGCCCCAAGGTACGGTTCAGTTTTTGGTGAATAACTTCGCAAAAAATGGCCGCAGAGCGCCGATTTTGGCAGCATCGTGTTCGCCTCGCTCAGGCGCGTCGAATGATATACTTTTTGTCCGGGTCAGGTCAACTTGGGGTGTTGACCTCAGGTCACGGTCAGGTCAGCATCCCCAGGTCACGAAGTTGGTCGAAAGAGGTCATGTCGCATATCATTCGATTCGGCAGGCCTTCCTGAGTCCATTGGTGGCTTTCCCGACTCGCTAGCTCAATTTGATCATGAGTTATTGACGAAAAACTAATATGACCTTGATGACGTCATAAATGACGTCACGCAAGGTCAGCATTGCAAAAGTGACGCATCTGACCTTGCAAGGAGTGCATCAAATCACGATTCTGTGTGCTTGATATAGTTGGAGATCGTTCCCGGCGCCAGAATAGCAGTTTAAATTTTTCCCCATTGACTTATAATGGTGAGGTCACGAAAATGACCTGACCTCATATGACCTTTAGAAAAAATCCGAGATATACAAGTTGTGGGACTCATAATGGATACTAGATCCTGCTAGTTTCATTTCCCTGTGACATCTCCTCTGGCAGTGAGGGCGTTGCGAAGTTGCGACATCTGAAGACCGTGCAGAGGTTCACTTATGACGTCATAGGTCAGTGACCTGACCTGACCCAAAAATGAGGTTGGTGTCAAAAGATCCGGCTTGGATCAAAGGTCAGGTATGCGAAGTTTCAGCTCTCTATCGCCAGCGTGTTCGGAGCTATCGCGAAAAAACCCTATGGGGGGCGGCACCCGCCCCCCCCCCCTTCCGGCGAGGGTTAAATCATAGCATCCTGACTCGTCTGCTAAACAGCCAAACAATGAATCAGAAAGATTAAACGACATGCAGGTCTAGGACCAAACCTGTTTTACGAGACAATGTCTAGCAATGCATTAGATAAGAATGCGTTGAGGAAATATTACTGCAAGCGTGCGTTAATTATAGCACAGTCACGCCTATAATGCACGGCATCCACCAAATCAACTAACGGATAATTTCCTAGTAAATGCAGCTGAAAGCATGTATAAACTACTGTTAAACTTACTAATTATACTTTAAAACAATTTTCCAAAAAACGCCATGTTAATTTTGTGTTTTAAATATGAGGCTGCTGTGCATAAATCGCGTGCAAACTGCTCGCAGACAAAACAAACGGTGACATTTTTGCAAAACGTCGCCGTCGTCGCCGCAGCAGCCCTTGCAGCAGCCTTGGCAGCAGCATTCACTTGGTTATAGATGAAAACATGAGGTGAAAAATCGTAATAATCTTTAAAACCTAAGTGTATTATCTAAAGTTTCTGAAATTGGAATGTCAACCCGATCAAGAAGACATCAGGAGTTGCTGCTGAACGATGAGAGCAAGTGTGAATTAATGCAAGGAGCCGAACAAACGACGCATGTTTATAAATATATTTTCTGGCTGCAGTCGGGTTATTATTTATGATCATGTGCTCTTTCCTTTTCCCCAAAAATCAAGTCCCAACTTTTTTCTTTACCTCACAAATAACCCTCTTTACACACAAAACTATACAGAAATGGGCAGTTTTGCACATTCGTGATAATAAATCACGACTTAAAATTGTTTTAAATACACTTAAAGGGACTATCCCACCTTTAACATGGGGTTTGAGTTGAGATAGCCAAGTTTGCGGCGAGGTTCAGAAACCACTATCTATCTAGGTTGCAACCCCCGCGGCCTCTTGGTGTTGAAGAAATTCGTTCCCTTCATTTGAAAATGGGCCTTGCATGAGGCCCTATCTTCAACATGGAGCGACCGTTAGTGTGACGTCACCTCGTTTAGTCATTCTGATTTAAATGGGTTTGTGCGTTGAAAAATCGCTTAAAACTTGGTCTGAACTTTGTTGTGGTGCCTACAGAGTAAAAAGAATCAGTTTTATGACAGTAATGTGGCCTGGGGAAGGAGGTAATTTTGGGCTGTGACGTCACATATTTGAAAGTTTTTGTTTGGAATATGGGTAGCCTAAGATGTTTAATGAAAAATAAATGCCAGAACCGTGTTCCTGGTCATCCAATCTATAAAGTCGGGCACAATTTAACTGGTTTTAACAACATTTTAGAAGGTGGGATAGTCCCTTTAACATCACTTTTCCGTCATGCAAGAATATTTATGCACTCAACTTTGCAATTTAAGACCACTCGTGCTTAAATTGTTTTAACGCACGAGTGCTCTAATCACTCATCGAGTGTGTTCAAACTATTTATGCACAGGGAAACAGTGTATTAAAAATATTAATATATGCTTTAAGGTGCGATTCCAGGCAATCGCCATGCTAAAGGACTTTTACTTTGGGGCCACAGGGGCTTGGTGTTTTAGGGATATAGAAACTTGTGAACGCATGCTTACACGATAGCAGCACTCTGAACTGTTAAATTATTTTTGTGCATTAAGTGTATGGTTGTGCGATAAATCATTTCATTATTGACGAACTTCGATAACGAAAACATATCCATTTGTTTAATATAGGCGTGCGTTAATTTCGATTAATACATACTTTACGGTGCGTTCACTGGGGATTAACCGTGCGTTAATTCGAAGGTAGCCGTGCAGTGATGACTTTCTCAACTGAAGTTTCTCGGAAGGGTCATTGACTTTATTCGAAGATTTCCATAAAAGGCCCTTTTAGTGTCATGGACTAAGTTTAATTTTAATTCAAATTGGCACCGTTAAGCATGTATTAATTAGTTAAACACATGGTTTCCGTGCATAAATGGTTTTAACGCACTCGTGGATGGAATGGAGCACTCGTGCGTTAATGCACTCGTTTCACTCGTGCATTAACACACTCGTGCTCCAATCCATCCACGTCGTGCGTTAAAACCATTTACACACGGGAAACCATGTGTTAATATATATTAACCCGCGCCCCGTAGGGCTACCGGCGGACCCTACCACCCGTAGGGGGGGGGGGGCCGTATCGGCCCCCCCCCCTAAGATCTCGGAAAGTTACCGGCCGATTTTCAAAATTCAAACGGCGTTCGATAGCCCCACCCGGGAACTACCTTGTGACCAAATTTCATTGACCTAGGTCAAACCGATGACGTCACAGGTCAGGTCAAAGGTCAGATTTTCACCGTTCACAGGCAATTCAAGAAATGTGCTGTGAAAGCGAGTAAATTGGTAATTTATTGAAAACCATCGATGGTACATTGTTCGTCAAACACATACTTTGCTATCTGAGGTCACTGATACCAGGTCAGGTCACAGCGAGGTCAGGTCACCGGGGTCACAATATGAATGTGTCGTGTGATACATGTTTTATGGTCCATTTTACATGACAAATGCGATTATGTGGGTAAGGCAGCCTTTGGGGCCAGCCTAGGTCACGTTTTTGTGAAGGTCAGGTCAAGGTCAGGTCAAATTAGGTCAAATTTCAAAGTTGATATTTTTGCATAAAATGGGTATCGATTCGATGCAGCTCGTCACGGGGAGTCTAATGGTGGTCTTCGTTTTGCTCTACGAGTTCTAGAATTGCCAAAAATTGAGTTTGAAAATTTGACGTCATCATTTTTGAACAGTTTTTTCGCTATAACTTGGCCAAAAAACGAGGTATCGATCTGAAATTTGGTATGTAGATAGAAGACGGTAGGCACTATCACATATATTCCGGTTTTTTCGAAACTCAAAAAACTTTTTGGATTTTTTGGCGAATATATCCAAAAAAATGCTTTTTTGATTTTTGGGGGTCAAAACTCAAAAATTTCAAAAATTCGAGATAGCAGTTTTGTAGCCCTGTCAATTCTACACCTTTTATGTCTTTATCATTTTTCTGTATCTTCAAAGCTGTAGTCCTGACAGGTCTTCTCGCGAAGGTCTTTTTTCGGTCGAAAATGACAGAACATGACGTCACTCTGACGTCATTTGTGGCCAACCTATCATAGCCTCTGGAAAAATTTTTGGTCACAATGTGCAAAATTGATGCCCGGAGGGGTCCTGAAAGTTTGGTGGCGATATCTCCAGCCGTTTAGGAGATATCGACCGAAAAGGACAGGGGGGGGCCGTTTCGGCCCCCCCCCTACGGGGCGCGGGTTAACGCACGCTGAATTTCGTTAGAGCACGCTCGTGGCAATAACGCACTGGCTCTCCCAAATTCGACAACTTCGAATCCCCAGTGAACGCACCGCAAAGTATTTATTAACTGATCGTGCTTTTGCAACATGAATGAGTATTCTTCCTTTTATAGACCACAGTAGATTCTTGACAATTCTAATTATAACCAAACCTGTGAAATGCTGAGGTTCATGTGTTACCCCTACCCTTAGCAATGGAACTTCTACCACATTATGTATTTTGCATTGGATAAGTTTGCTGTTATGACAATCTAATAGCCTCTTTATGTCCAAAATTTGAAGCATATGCTGGTAATTTTTTTGCGCAAAACAAAAAAATACCGACATGCTACTGGCAAGATATGTCAGATACCACGAAAAAACCTGCGGTAGTGAAAAAAATTACCGGCATGTCGGTAGTGCGGTAGGGAAAGTTTGCAACTCTAGTTGGCATACATGAGCTTTGATTCAAGCCGGATTCAAGCGGGACACCCAGCTGCATTTTGATGTCAGCTGCGATGTGGCGCCGTATGTTGCCGTAGACTGTGGCCGCTGACATGTCTTGCCCTGTGGCGCCGTATGTTGCCGTAGACTGTGGCCGCTGACATGTCTTGCCCTGTGGCGCCGTATGTTGCCGTAGACTGTGGCCGCTGACATGTCTTGCCCTGTGGCGCCGTATGTTGCCGTAGACTGTGGCCGCTGACATGTCTGACCGTCCTCAGGGCCGGCTCGGCGATGGTGCGTCTGCACGGCTGGAGGTATGGGGTGTTTGTCGGCGCCATTGTCGGAAGTCTGGCGGCGGCCTTCTATCCAATCGTGGTTCACCCGATGCTGCACAGGGACGAGTACCGCGAGCTTCAGAGCCGTAACCGCGCCGGCGTGCGGCAGCAAGACGTCCAACCCGGTAATATGAAAGTCTGGTCAGATCCGTTTGACCGGCCCAAACCCGACGAGCGGCCATAGAGAGTGTCCATCGGGCTACTGCGCATCAATGTGGGCCGCATAGCTTCGCGTCGTGTCTAGTGTCCGTGTTGAATATATGTTTCACGAGCGAGCGAATTTATTTGCATCCATTATCCCGGTAGACGACTGCAGGGCCATCCTAAAACACCACATACACCAACAACGACAAACGTACATGACTCATCACCCTACACCCAATCCAACCCCGTTTAGGCTACTGGGCGTCTTAAAAAAGTAGAAGTTTTCGTGGTTGCAATTTTCCACAGCCTAGCCGCCCCGCAGCCATGGCACCACAGTCACAGTCGCCCACAGCCGTGGCAAACTGGCACTACTTAACGTCAATTGGCATAGAAACCAGGGATAAAGTCAACCATCAGTTTCTGCAGTCGGGACGGACCAAACTGAATGTTCGGCTCCCACGGGTTAACCCTCGCATGTGTGCGGCGTTTGCCAGCTTCTAATGTGTGGGGGGGGGGGAGGTCGGTTCCCAGTAAACATGCCGACGTCGGCCCGACATCGGCTGGACGTCGGATATGCCCGCATGTTCCGACGTCCAGCCGAAGTCCAGCCGACGTCGAGCCGACGTCGGGCCGAGGTCGTTTGCCGAGGTTGACGTGATCGTTTGTCGTTGGACCGACGGGGCCGACGTCGGCATGTTTATTGGGACAACGCGCCAAAAATATCAACCGGCGGCGGGATTCGAGCCCCCCAGTCGCCGACGTCGGCATGTTTACTGGGACAACACGCCAAAAGCATCAGCCGACGATGGGATTCGAACCCCGTGCCATTTGAACGCGAGGTTAGTGCGCTAACCACTACACCACGCAGCCAGATGGCGAATTTAGTTTGTTTTGTTGCGTTATGCCCTTTCGGTCTGACAAGACCATTTCAGCAGGGCTGCGGAGTCGGAGTCGGAGTCGGAGTCGGAGTCGGTCGGAGTCGACAGTTGAGACCGGAGTCGGAGTCGGAGTCGGAGTCGATTTTAGAAACCCGAGCCGGAGTTGGAGTCGGAGTCACCGAAAATCCGTCGACTCCGCAGCCCTGCTGGGCCTGCGGAGTCGGAGTCGGGAGTTGGAGTCGGTCGGAGTCGACAATTCTGCCCAGAGTCGGAGTCGGAGTCGGAGCTGGTTTTTGAAAGCCGGAGTCGGAGTCGGAGTCGGAGTCGCCGAAAAAACATCGACTCCGCAGCCTTGCATTTCAGAGCCGGAAGGATGATAGGATGGAGACATTGGTCTTCTTGGCGAGCACCCTGGGTCCAGTTCATATAGAGTCCCTGGTCCCATTGCTGTTACGTGACACTTATTGGAAAGGGCGAACCCACAAATGGATTCATATAGCCACTCTTACACACCTGCACCAACGTTTCCCAAAGTGTCCCTTTGATAAGTGGGCAAAGTGACACTTGCCGACTGGCCTTTCTAGGTATATGAACTGGGCCCGGCCCTGGTGAGTTGCCGGGGCTGAGCCTGACCAAAGGATAGGCCGAGCAGCCCCCAAGCACTCACCGCACCCGGCTACGGGCGAGCTCGGCTTACGGGCAATCCCAAATGGGATAAAGTTTCCCGTCCAGTCCGGATCAGGGGGTTGCGGCGTGGAGGAAGATTTGAGTTTCCTGAGGATATTTTGAATACAGAAGCTCTTTATGAAACATGAAACATGTATTTTATATTATTTTAACGGTCAAAACAGCGGCCGATGTCGGTCCGACGTCGGCTGGACCTCAGCAATTGATCTCGGTCCGACGTCGGCCCGACGTCAGCTGGACGTCGGTACATGCGGGCATATCCGACATCCAGCCGACGTCGTGCCGAGGTTGGACCGACGTCGGCATGCTGATGCCGAGATGCCGACGTCACCCCGACGTCGGCCGACGTCGGCATGTTTACTGGGTTGGACCCCCCCCCCCTTGCCGTTTGGCCCCTGATCGAGCTAGAGCTTCGCGAAAAAAAACGAGCGTATTGCCCGTGACGAGAGGAAGCCGATGATACCCAATTTTAAGGTCCTAGGTCATTGGTTGACCTTCCAGGTCAGGTCAATGACCCAAAGTCGGGAAAATCGGGACCTATTAGAAAGTCGTAAAGTGTGGCTGCTAAGGGGTTTTTCGGGGTGCTGATCACGAATATCGTGTTAGTTTTGATCACAGATAATGTCTTCAAGCATTTAGACCAGGTCGGGTCAGGTCAGGTCAGGTCAACCAGTAGACGTCGTGACGGGTATTCGTAGTACGTGTCAACCGCCTCTGACAGCTTCGTAACATGTTACGAAGACACCAAAACTACTTCGTAAATGTTCAAATGGTTGCTAAATTCGAATTCAGGTCCAAAAACTAGCCTAGAAACATGTAAAACTCGAAAAAGTGAACCGAGGTCACCCGAGGTCACCAAAGGTCAATGACCTGACCTGACCTTCAGGCGACCTTGACACCCACCCTAATGCATGGGAGCAATATCAAATCACATGTTTGAACGTTTGAAACCACGAAAAGCTTGCAAACGCGCGGCGCTAATGCGAGCCGACATACGCGGACCAAACATGGTCTCAGAAAAGAGGTCACAGGTCAAAGGTCATTTGGGTCAGGGTCATGAAATTTTCAGGGTTGGTGTAAAATTGATCAATGCGAGGGTACTGAAAGTTTCGTCGCGATCGGCCGCTTTTTACGCGAGTTATTCGCGAAAAACCATGGGGGGTCCATCCGACCCCCCCCCCCCCCCAACTGCACATGCGAGGGTTAACACTGGCGCTCTCAATTTCATACTTGTTACGCTTGATCAGTTAAAAAACGTTTTGTTCTCTATGCCAAACAAACCAGCCAGCGTAGACGATGACATACCTCTGAGCATCTTGAAACTTTTTTTTAGCATCACTGGTCGCACGCTGCTTCGCATTATTAATAATAGCGTATTATATTGTATGTATTGTATTGACTTTTGCCAGCACTCCACATACACCGGCGTGGCTATTCTGTGCCGATAGTCACAATATAAAAACAGGTAAAAGGCGGAATGGGTAAAACAGGCAAACATCAGGCACACGTGCACATCATAAAGCTTGCACTCCTATGCCCCCTCCCCCTCCCACTACATATCCCTATTACACTGAACTATCTTCACGGCACGTTTGAAAGAAGTGGGGTCCAGCTCAACGATACTCACAGGCAGTTCATTTAAAAGTGATGTTGCGCGATATAAAAACGATCGCTGCCCGGCGGCCGTTCGCATAGCAGGAGGTCTCAAAAGGCGATCCTGACGCGTATTGCGCTCGGACTGCTGGCGCGAGTCACGAAACGTAGTGAACAGAGTAGAGATGTTCACAGGCTCGCCATTGGTGATTGCCTTATGGGCTACCGTCAAAGTCGACACCTCATACATTTGTAAGGGGGAGAGAAGTCTGAGGTCCTCCCGCGCGTGAGAAATGTGGTCGTATTTTCTTAAGCCAGTGATCACTCTTGTCGCAAAGTTAATAATGTTCAGAAGCCTCGCATCATTCTTTGAGGTTCCGCCGCCATAAACAGAAATACAGTATCTCACGCGCGAGAGGACAAGACCGTCAACAACAGCTCGCAGAACACCCCGCGGGAGGTAATGCCTCAGGTGACGGAGACCGATCAGGAGGCCAATGCATCGACGGACCACGTCACTGACGTGCGCGTCCCAGGTAGGTAAGGTGGCGATCAAAGATCAAGCCCAAGTTTTTTCACTGTCAGGCCCTCCTGAACGGTCTCCCCACCGACCCGCACGCTGACAGGGGATAGGCCACGTGTGTTCTGTTTGGTACCAAGGAGGAGGATTTCAGTTTTGGATGCGTTGAGCTTTAGACCATGGGCATGGAACCATGACGAAAGGGTGCAGAGGGTGGTTTCCATGCGTTGGATGAGGTGAGGAAGGTTGCGTTTGGTATCGGATAGAAGGATTTGGGTGTTGTCAGCGTACTGGGTCACATGAGCGTCCAGTGCGTGCAGGCTGAGGTCGTTGGCGTATATGGTGAACAGGAGAGGACCAAGGACAGATCCCTGGAAGACACCCATGGTATTAGGGAGGGGATCTGAGACCACTCTGTCACCATGAGAGGAAGATGTGATAGAAACGGACTGAGTGTGACCGGAGAGATAGGAGTCGAACCAGGCTGGGTGAATGTTGTACTGCTGGAGTTTGGTAAGGAGTTGGTTGTGTGGAATGACGTCAAAACACTTGCTGAGGTCCAAGAGGCAAAGGAGTGAGAGGTGGCTACGGTCCATATTGGAGAAGATCTGGTTTGTGACTGTGAGCAGAGCGGTCTCAGTGGAGTGACGGGGGCGGAAACCGTGCTGGGATTGGGACAGGAGGTGATTGTCGGACATGTATGAGAGCAACTGCCGCTGCACCACACGGTCGACAACCTTGGAAGTTGGAGATGACAGGAATTATGGAAACTAGAGGGACAGCATTACGCGCAGCGTAATAAATCAATTTTCATTAAAATCGGCCCAGTAACGGCCGAGTTAATGCCAGAATAAATTTGGCGTCTCCTCCTGGCCGGCGGTGCTCTGTTCCGGTATTCATTGCCAAAGGTCAGTGACCTTCCGGCTCTGATTTCACCCAGTTTTGCAGCGAAGAAACTGAGCCTAAGGCGCGTGCCGTCTGCTCGAATCCGGCCGCGGCCCAAAATGCTGCAAAGATGTGCCCGCCACGTGCACACCGCTGCACGCACCCCCTCCAAAATTTAATACAACAAACAGATGCACGCGTCCGACTTGCGCCCAAAATTTCACCCCCGTAGCCCGCACCGTTCCAGAGCAATAGCCCGCCAAGCGTGACTGACGCGTCACATACATACATACATACATACGGACGTTTTGATTTTTATATATGTAAATAGGACGGTAATTGGATATCAGAGTTGAGTCACCAGATTTGAGAATAGGATGGACCAATGAATGCTTCCAGGTATCAGGGATGTCACAAGTGGTAAGGGAGGTATTGATAATGTGGAGAAGGATAGGTCCGATGGCTTCGAAAGACAGGATTAGGATGCGAATACAGATACCATCAGACCCACACGCACCGGAACGCTTCATGGAGAACATGACCTCCCGCAGGGCGCCCAGCGTCGTGCC